ATTAGAGAATTAGAAGGGTGAGCTTACTCAGCAGTAAGCCTCTAAGATGACAATTACATCGGACAAATAAAAGTTATGTAAAGGTCTTTGTTGTGTGTCTATCTGATAGTCTTAAGGGATAATCTGTGGAAAGGAGAGAGAGAGAGAGAGAGAGAGAGAGAGAGAGAGAGAGAGAGAGAAGGAATGAGAATGGGAAGGGGTGGGGTGAGTAGTTTTCAGTGCTTGCATTGGTTATTTCCCGTCTGTTTTCCACACCTGGTTGTGGTTTTGGCCTCAGTCAGCATCTGGAAATGCTGAGACAGTTGGTATATACAAAATACTTGATTTTTTTTTTGTTTTTGTTTTCCTTGGGCTTGTTATTACACAAATACTTCTTCAATTTTCCCCTAATGGCTAGTGCATTGTTTCCTGGAGAAGGGCTGTCAATAAATTAAGGAACATTTATGATGCTGTATCTAGTGACAGGTGTTCTGGTCATGGTGTCCACTGAAGGTTATTGTAAGGGCCTTGGCCACTCTTTCTTTTCTGTCTATCCCGGTCATGTTTGTCATGGACTTCCTGTCATGATGTGGTTTGGTGCCTTGCCATAGGCCCCAGGGCTGATCATGGGTGGAGATCCCCAAAAATGTGATACTAAACAATTATCCTCTCTTCTAAAGCTGGCTGTCTCAGGTTTTTGACATAGCACCAGAAAACAGAGTAACTCATTAAGTGGTATTCCCGGTGGAAGAAAACAAGGATTTGAAGGGCTATGAGGAGGGAAGAGCTCCTGCTGGCCAACCCCCATGCTCATTTCCACCAACACCCCCTGGTATTTATTTAATACCAGTTTCTGGTATTTATTTAAATAAAATTTGCTAATTCTGGATTTACTGACCACTTCTTAGAGTGAAAGAAAAAGGTTTTCCTGACTCACCCACATGCTCATCTCCCAATCGTAACACATTAATGGTTACGTTGTTGCTTTTAGCTCTGTGACTAGTTTTCTTTATAACTCTAGAAAATATGTCAATCATTCCGTTTTGTTTTTTTTCCTGTTCCTTAAGTTGATTCTGTTGAGTTTTCTGTAAGATGGAAAATTAGCCCCTCTACCATTTCCTCTGTTTCTCTCTTCCTATCTTCCTTCTGATTAATTTTTGCTTCATATTGTTGAGGTTGATAACACCTACATTTTGTTCTACAATGAATTTTCTCGTTTTCTGTTTTATGTCTTTGAGGTGAAAAAAAATCAATCTTTTTATTGCTATGCATGCAACAACAACTATTATTATTATTATTTGCTGTCAAGATTTGTAGCATGCCGTGTCTGCATTTGTCTGACTATGGATTCTGTTCCATATCCCTAGGCTGACCATCAAGGTAAGATGGAGTCCTTTCCTCTATATCTCTCTGTTATCTTTTCATGGTTTTTGTTGTTGTTGTTGTTAATAAGACACTAGCTCTCTGCTCTTTACTCATATTTATTTTCTGTCCTGTTCAGCGTTCTGATGTATGCATACAAATTTATTGTCCATCCATCTCATTGCATTTTAACATTTCAGCAGCTGACCTTGCTGTTCTCCTTCCTCACTGCTTCTAGAGGATATGATGACCAGCACTTCCTGCTTCATTCCCCTTCTGGTCATCCCCAAGTGGTGCTCCCCCTGCCTTTGAAAATCAAGCTGTCTTATTTATGAAACCTGTAAAACTGTCTGGTCTGTTGATGTACCACATAGTGTCAGACACTTTATAGCATCTCTTACTTGTGTTTTTTTAAACTGCCTCTTAGTGAATTTCAAAAAAGAAGAAGCAAAGGCGTGTGCTGGGTCTGGCATCTTGAACTATATTCTGCTGAATTTTCATCTAACTGTGTTTTCTTCCTTGAAGACACCCAGAATGTCTACCACTTTAAAATAGATGCCAACACATTTCATAGCTTTTCTTCTATTCTTTTAGTCAGGATGATAATTCTTTTTGAATAGTTGGTTAGAACTTGGGTTTCTTGTAGTGAAATGAATGCATATTTTAGTTTTACTTTTTACAAGTTTTCTTCAAGCTGGTTTAATTTTTTTCTTTTCACACACTTAAATATATTTAGAAAGTTTGATTGCCTACAGAATTTTCAACATGCTATTCAAATTCATTTTTTTTCCCTATTACACGTCAGCTATGGATTTCCCATGCACTTACTCACTGATACAATTTCTGTGCCCAGGCTTTTGATGTATTTATTTCCTACAGTGATTTGTTTTCCTAATGAATTTCTCTTCTGTCATATTTTTACATTTACTTGTAATTAGCAATACTCTCTCTTTTTTTACAAGGATGCTTTAAGCATTACATACTTTTACATACAATTACAATTTACATACTAATTACATACAATTACATACTTTCTCCCAGTTTATTTCTGAGTGAGAAAATATTTTATATGTTGGTATAGATTTGCATTACCCACTTTTTTTTCTTTTCATTTTATGCCTTTCTTGGTTATTTTGCAATGGTTACTGCTATGGATAGAATTATCCCCTCTAAGGCCATGTGTTAAAGCCTTAACCCCAATGTGACTATATTTCTGTGAATACAGAAATGTTATGGAAATAGTAAGTTTAGATGAGACCGTACGTGTGGGGCGCCGCAATGACATGATTAGTGTCCTTACAAGAAGAGATAGCAGAAAGTGTTTCTCCTCCCTATGCCAGGGAAAGGACATGGAAAGAAAACAGTTATCTATAGAAAGAGAGCCTTCACAGGAGCTGAGCCAGCTGGGTTTTTTTTTTTTTTCAATTATAAATTGTCTGAGAAAGCACCAGATTGATTTCCAAAGTGGTTGTACAAGTTTACAATCCCACCAGCAATGGCAGAGGGTTCTTCTTTCTCCACATCCTCTCCAGCATGTGTTGTCACTTGAGTTTTTGATCTTAGCAATTCTGCTTTGTGTAAGGTGAAATCTCAGGGTGGTTTTGATTTTAATTTCCCTGATGACTAAGGATGTTGAGTGTTTCTTAAAGTATTTCTCTGCCATTCAGTATTCCTCTATTGAGAATTCTGTTTAGCTCTGCTCCCCATATTTTAATTGGATTACTTGATTTGTCAGTTGGCATATTGAGTAGGTTTTTTTTTAAAAGAAAATCATTTATTATTTTTTCTTTTTAAGCATCTTTTTATTGGTTCTTTGTGAATGTCACATCATACATCCTAATCCCACTCATTCCCCCACCCCTCGTACTTGCCCTGGACCTTTGCAACCACCCCAACAGAGAAAAAACATTCTTGTTGTGGAAACTGTAATATGACACAGTGTGTATCACAGTCTCTTCTTTTGTCCATATTTCTTTGCTGGCAAATGTTCATTGCAATGACTCCTTGGTCTGGTATAAGGCCTCTGACTTCTACTACTCTGTCAATAATGGAATCTCACTGGGATTCCTCTCAAATATTCTGTTGTTGCCCGTGTCATGGAAATCCTGTAGTTTTGGATCTGTAGGACTGGCCCCTGAATGCACTTTAGCAGTTCATCGATGGGGTAGATATTGGGGTAGGCAAATTCAAAGCCCTGGATCTAGGCCTGAGAGGTATCTGAGTTGTTCATCCTGCTGGCTTTCTCACTTTCATACCTTTGGGGCTGGCTCACCTGTAACCCCCACAACCAGGGCCAGCTCTACTGTGCTGCCCAGGTGAGGTTCAGGGCCCATATTCTGGAGTGCAGCAGTAAGGGGAGCAGTAAGCTCTTATGACCCCATTGGGGCCAGCTCTCCTACCAGTTGCTAGTGGCAGACGTAAAGAGGAGGAGAGAGGATTTCTCCCTCACCAGTGCTACCACAAGGAAGACAAGAGCCAGGGCAGGCTCTCCCATGCTCATACCCTTGGGGCTGGCTCATCTACAACCCTCATTTTCATGGCCAGCTCTGCTGTGCTGCCCAGGCGAGGGGCAGGGCCTTCTTTCCTGCTCTGATGACCTGAGAGTCAGCTCTCCTGCCTGCCAAGGGGTGTGCGTGTGCGGGGTGGGGGGAATGTTACCACATGGCAGACAAGCAGTGGTGACAGCTCTCCCATACTCGTACTCTGCCCTTTGCCCCCACCAGCAGATTCAGCTATATTGTGCTTCCCAGGTGAGGTGCAGAACCTGCTCTCCTGAGTGCTACAACTGGTGAGGGGCAGGGCCTGATCTCTTGCTTTCAAGACCCCAAGTGCTAGGTCTTTTGTCTGCTGCAGGTAGTGAGGGGCAAGCAGGAAGGAGGGTATCTCTCCCTCATCCATACCACTGCATGGGAGAAGAGTGGCAGGATTAACTTGGGGCTGGCTGACCCACAGCTTCTGCATCGTACGGGCTGCTTTTCTGAGTACTGCAGCTGGCGAGGGGCATGGCCAGCTCTCCTGCTATCATGCTCCCAGCGCCAGCTCCTCCATCATACCTGTACAAGGAATGGGGCAAGTTCTGCACATCCCTCAGATATTAACTTGTCAGTCCAGACCAGTGATATCTACCTGGCCATTGGTGGTTACAGACCCCCTACTGCTGCAGGTCCATGGTCCACCATGGTCCCAGGTGGTGTCATTGGATACTCAAATTAGGCTGTTCCTCACTACCCTTGAATCTCCAGTTCTGCCTCTCTTCATTGTGCCCACATCCTTCTATTTATCATTCTCTTCCATTTCTCGACCATTAACTTGCTCCTCTTTGTGACACTCAGTGATACCTCAGTGTCTGGGATCATCTTAGGAGTGGCCTCAGGAGTGCTATGTCCTGTTCATATAATATGGAACCAGGTGGGGGTCACACCATGTATAGCCTGCTCCCCCAAGGCCTGTGCTGTGCCAGACTGATGGGTATCAGGCTGGCTCCCTGTTCAGGCCCCATGGTACCTGTCTGGTGATTATCTTGGGCTCACTCCTTACCCAGGGTCCCATGGTCCCAGCCAGGGTTCTTCTAGCTTCTGGCTCACTCCCTGCCCCGAGAGCCCATCTGGGCACCCTGTTTCTGCAACTGGTGGTCATCTCAGGACCTCCCCTGTCCCCCTTTTTTTTTCCTTTTTCATTCAGATGATCACAGGTCAGAACACTGAGCATAGACACAGCCTCTCTTCTCTCTGCCACCTACAGGTGCACCTATGACACAGCAGCCAGACCTGCAATGCTTCTAGGGGTATCCATCTTGAGTGTTTTGCATTCCTCTGTTCCTTTCAGCTGCATAGGTTCTCACAGAGGTAGTAATATGGTTTGGTTACAGAGCTGATCTGGCTTAACCAAGAGAGGCTCTCTCTTCCGCTACCACACTGCCTTAGAGAAAGTTTCTTTCCCAACTTGTGTCTCTCTGTAGTTTTCTGTTCTCATTTATAAAAACACTCCAGTTTAAAGTGTTTTGGAAAAGTCCATCTAGGGGCTGTATGGTAAATCACTCACTGCACAGGTATGAAGACTTGAATTTACATTCCCAGAGACCACTGAAAAGTCACAATGCTGCCTGTCATCCCCATTCTCCTATGAAAAGGTAGGAGGTGGAGACAGAAGGGGGCCAGATAGCATGGCATACATAGCAGCAGGTAAGACACTCTGTCTCACACAAGGTGTAGAAGGTGATCATTCTTACTCAAAGCTGTTCTCTGACATCCACATGGCTGTGCCAAGTGTGTGCCTTCACACACACATGCACACACACACTCAGAGTTTACTTGAAAACTTCAATTGCTACTCAATCCACAGTCTCTCGATGCCTTTGCTGCTCAGGCTGTAGGTTCTCTCTTCACTCTCTGCTGCTCCTGCACTTCTTTCCTTGTGTGCTCAGTTCCTTGCTCCCACCAGGGTCAGTAGTGTGGGGAGAATAAACTTAGAAGAAGGACAAAGGATGGAGTGGCTGCTGCTGTTACCTGGTCACTGATGCCTCCTGCTTTGTATCAAGGTTCACACAGTGTCCATCTCTCCATCCTCTTCTTTTTCTCATGTGGGTCAGTGCACATGCCCTAGCTACAAGTCAGTATCTTTGTGAATTTGGTTCTTCCAGCTATAGGCAGAGCAGCTTGAACAGCAGAAGCCTACTTTCTAACAGTTCTGGAGGCTGGAAGTCCAAGATCAAGGTGCCAGACAATTTGTCTTTTCTTGGCTTGCAGATGGTGGTGACCCTTCCTGCCCCAATGGTATACACAGGCTCTTCCTGCTGGCAAAAGCTTTCAGCAGTGAGCTTGTTTAATGTGTGCCTTTCAAGATATTTTCTTTCTTGCTTCTGTCTAACGTGTCCCTTGACCACAGGAAACATCAAACATTATCACTGATGTTTGAGTAAATGCTGCCCTCGTTCTATGCCCTGTAATTTTTGTCCTGTTGTCATTTGCCTGAAACAGATGCCCGTTTTGTGCTTTTAAAGGCATGGAGTTGATGTATGTCTTTGCTGAGAGAATTTTCCCCAACTTTAGAGATAGGTAATTTTTCCTCAGGCATTTTCTTGCATTCTGTATTAGTATTTGCATAGGGCTGACTGCTTATGAATGTAGCAAGAAACCATTTGCAAAGCCCTTTCTCTATCTATAAAAAAGTACCAGGATTGTTGATGAGCTCTTTTTTCCTAGAGATGGTAATTCTTGAGGGTGATAGAAGGGAGGGCACTGTGCTCAACCTTTTCTGCGTTAATTAATCTTAATTAATCTTAATTAATCTCTAGCTTTCTCTTACATGGGCTAGAGGTGGGGTCCTGGACTCTGAAGGGCTGTTTTGTCACCACTGATAAGTCTTAAGTGACTAATCTAACATCTCTCTATAGAGGATAGTTCTTTATCATCCACTGTCTCTTGGGTTGATATTTCTGTTGGAATTCTCCAACTGCAAAGAAGTTCCACTTCACATCTTGTAACAGGATGTGTGTGTATATAAACACTTACTTTGACCCGAGAAGGACCAGGGTCCTCTCCCAGTCAGACAATGAGTAGAAGGCTAAGCATGAGTCTTTCTATAGGTATCCACATTCAGTGAGTTCATTTTGTGTCCTGAAAAAGAGTGTTTTTCCTGGCTCTCTCTGTGCTGCCTTCTGCCCAAACACTCTTTAGTTGAACAGCCTGCTTAGGTTTGCGTTCCTTACCATTAGCCATTTTACGCTGATGTCCCAAGTTCATGTTAAGGCACATAAGTGATAGACAGCGTGTAAGTGTTGGTGGGATGATTCTTCCTCAGCTGAGATGGATATGTAATGGCCGTTTGGGAAGAAATTCTGAAGCTCTGAACGGCTGATGATGTCGTGGGACACAGGAAGTTGTAATGTGAGTACTGAATGCAGAAGTGGACGGCTGTGTTTATTTGGACAGAAAAAAGTTGAAAAAGAAAATCAGTCTCTCATTCCAGTTAGCACTTTGAAATATTCTGAATTTAGAAGATCCTTGAACTCACTTGAATGGCTGCACTATTCTCAAAAAAGCACTTCATAAATCCTAGGGAGTAAGTACTACAAAAATACTCTTCTACAACTCCATCTGTGCTCCATACATAAAACACCACCAGATCATGTATTTTGGTTAATGTTGCTTTAGAGCTATGTGAATTCTGCTTATTTGAAAATGGCAAGATTGGCAGCCTTTTCTGATGAATGAGTGGCAGAATATTCTTTACCATGGTGGCAGATTTTTGTACTAACGATGTGGGAGGGAGCTGTGCAGCAAGCTCTTGACTTTCAGGAAATAAGCCGTTATCTAAACTCATCGTATTGGAGCAGACGATGGCTGCTCCATACCAACCCAACAGAGAAACTGGCATTCTGTAGAGGACACTGGCACATTGGGGTTGTTCCAGCTTACATAGACTTCATGTGGAAAAGTCAAGTTCAATCCAGTGGGAGGAGGTGGGGAGGATCTGAGCCAGAATGAGGGAAGTGCCACTCTTAGAGGAAGTGAGTGAAGGAGAGATATTGGTGGTGCTTGTAAGGAGGAGGACAGACGAAAAGGTCAGTGATTATCCATGTTTAGGAAAACCGATGGCAGTAGTTTCTATCCTCTCCTTCCCTATCAAGAGGACAATAGGCTATCAATGTTCTGTTACGCAAATATAAAAGCATCTGTGGAAGGAAGACATGCGCTTGTCATGCTCTTAAAACATCTGCTCTTGCAAAGCACTTGAATATAATCTCGCCCTAACAGGAGCAAAACAGCTGTTCACGAATCCATAGCCACCACTGTTCTTGCGCCTGGAAAATATGTACGATAAACTGCAGAAATGGACCCCGGGGGTATTTGAATTATGGACAGACTATTGATTATGCATAATTTTCCTGTGAGCTGTTGTTATTTAGCTGTGTGGAATAGACTGTGCCTGGAGTCCGGGGGAGAGCTTCTACCAGGATGTGTTACTTAAAGCCCTTTAAAGTAACTCTTTCAAAGTAATGCACAGGCAAAAATCACTCTCAAGGGAAGTTGATGAAGCACCAGGAGGTGATGTATCTGAAGCTAAGTAGAACCAAGGAGGTGGAGTTGCAACCCAACATTTTCCTCTCCCACACCACCTGCACTAAATTGTAGTCTAAGGTTAAATCCTGTTCTCTCTTTCCTGTGCCACGCCCTCTACTGGGATTGGGCTTTCTTCCCTGACCTCCACAGGCATAGCTTGTAGATTGATTGCACGTACTACCCCTTTCTCATCCTACCTTGGAAACAGGGCCACGTTAAAGTAAGCAGAGAGGCTTGGGAGATAGCTTGGAGGGTAAGATGTTTGGTGCGCAAACATGAGGCCCTGAGGTCAGATCCTCAGCGCCCACATCAGCATCCAGGTATGGTGGCATTTGTCTGTAACCCCAGTGCTGAGGAGTGGAGACAGGTGGAGCGCTGGAATCCTGGCCAGGCAGTGTAGCCAAGGGATGAAGCTCCACACTTGGCGGGAGACCCTTTCTCAAAATTATAGCGTGGAGAGTGGTTGAAGAGGGTGCTCCACACTGACCCCCAGCCTCCGTGTGCACCCAGAGGCACGTGCTGAAAAACAGTTAAGTGCACCTTTTCCTAGGCAATAGAAAATGTGGTTCAGAGAATGAATCCCATTCATTCTTTCCTCACTGCATCCTTTAGAATTATTTCTGGAAGGGCTCTTTCTTAAAATCATTTTAAAAGCAATAACCTATCACTTAAAGACTATGATTACAGTTAACACTTCAGAACACACGGAGCAGCGCCTGGCCTCCAGGTATTGGTGAGAACTTGGAAGAGGGCGGGGAACGCTCTGTAGTTCTCCCCCCTCAGATGTACGCTGCACGCTGCGGTGCACTGATTGCCAGGTCCAGAGAGCCGCGGAACACGCTCCATCTCGATGCCGTTTCCCTTGTGTTGAAAGAGCATTCCAAAATTTATCAGCCTTCAGCAGATTCAATCAGGCAGCCACTCGACGCTGCTCAAGGGGGAGCTGTGCTGTTCAGGACTGACATGTGGAAAAGCAATCAGACGCTGAATTATATGGCTGGCTTTCTTTGTCTTCATCTGTTTAAAGTACTCAGTGAGCCCCGGTGAAATGACAGAGCTGTGTGTAAAAGCCCTTGGAAAAACCTCATTCATCACCAAGTTCGTAGAAACTGAGCAAATAGCTGAAGGGCTGCCTTCACAAAAGGCGACGACAGACAGTGTTTTGATATTTGCAGGGATCCTGCTGTGAACAAGGTTTTGCCTTTTCCTACCCCACTCCCATCTTTCAGACCTTTAAACATTTGGGCTCTAGACTTCCGTCGAAGACAGACAGAAAGAGAGCTACTCGGAGGGTGAGAACTGTGGCTGCTAAAATAATAACACTTAGGCCTTTCTCGTCACTTTGAAAGCCTTAAAAACATTATGAAAAGAACTTTAGTTACATATATGACTTTAGTCACATATTATACATATAATTGTTTTTTCCTTTTCTTTTAGGAGGTGCCACGAGCAAGTCTACCTAAGATCATTTAAATGAAAGAAACTAGATTGACGGGACCACAGTCAGGAACAAACGGTGGCTCAGAGCTGGCCTCTGGGGGGATTATTGCTCAGTAGGTTACTGTGAGTGGCTTAGAATTTCAGTGCGGCTTTCTTCTAGGGCTCAGTGTGATTTTGTCCTATATCCAGGTCTCTTCACTTAGTGTTTAGGCCTAAGTGTTTAGGGAGTGTAAAGAAACATTAGTATTTTGGTAAAGTTATATTTAGTACATACTGTAATTTGGATTT